GAAATTATAGTGAGTTGACTAATTTACCCTTTCCAAATGATGTAAGTGAATTTCATGTATTTATTTAACGGTGAAATTAACGTAACGTGATGGAAAGGACCAATTTCGCAAGAAAAGTTTGAAACAAAAATAAATTGTGGTGGCAATATAACCACCATTTATTTCATTACTTGCTAAAAATAATGCTTCAATTCTCACCTTTGGCTTTCCAAAGAATTCGTTAACCATCCACAGACTTTCCACTATACACGTCCTCCACTCCTATGAAAAATGTGGATTTGCTAGTAACACATTCTTAATCATGGTAACCATCAACATCCTATAAAAATTTAGATATCTGTGAGAAATGGTTCTCTTAATCCTACTAGTGTTTAGTGCTATTTGTGTAATTCACAAGGATTGTGCTTTCCCAGTATTTATCATGGACCATTGGATGGAATCGGTGGTTGGGATTTAAACTTAATAGATAATTTTTTGCCTTGGCTTGTTAAAGAAGTTTTGGATCATTTACCAAACATATGACTTACCCCACGTTTTTGTAAGAGAGGGCAGTGTCTTTAGGTGGTGGGGGATTATTTCAAAAGGAGGCTGATCTTTATTTTCTCTCTGCTCGAGAGAAAACGCTCCTCCATTTTTGGTTCCTTAAGGTGGCGGTTTGAAGGGGTTCTTTACCGGTTCTCTCTCTCTTTTGGAAGGTGATTTGCAAGTCGTGGAGGGCTTGATTGATGTTTTGGTTGATTGAACTCCTAGGATCCCCAACAATATCCTTCTTAATAAATAATTAAGAATATCACTATCTTGTATGGAGAAAACAGAGGTTTGAGACAACATCAACATTGATATCTATTAGTTCAACCTGATGTACAGTACTCTTTATACAATTTCTGTAAAGTGCCCAGATTGAACAAATATAGGGATTTTTTTTTTCCCCTTTGCATGGCACATATTGTATACTGCATGTGCACTTACCACCAACCGAAATTAAGCCCCCATTTGGTAGAAAATTTTCACCCAAAAAAAATCATTTTTTTGATCATTATTTTACTATTTCAGTTGTCATTTTTTACTTCTTCACTCCTAGGTGGGACTCACTTTTCTCTCTGACAGTAAAAAAATAGGGTTTTTTTTTCCCCCAATTCTTTGCATGGCACATATTGTATACTGCATATGCACTTACCACCAACCGAAATTAAGCTCCCATTTGGTAGAAAATTTTCACCCAAAAAAATCATTTTTTTTTATCATTATTTCACTATTTCAGCCATCATTTTTTACTTCTTCACTCCTAGGTGGGACTCACTTTTCTCTCTGGCGGTAAAAAATCAATTCTCATATTCACTGCCGAACATGCCCTAATTCTTTTATGAATTTCTCTTCCTTAAACTTAACCCTTTATATTCATGCTCCACGTTTCAAGCTTGATAAACGTCAAAGTTTAATGCATGGAATAAACCTTGCTCATGATACCACTTGTTGGGAATCTCAACTTCATGGTTCACCCAAGGACCTCTTTCAAGAAATATCAACAATAATAGAGAAATAAAAATATAGATAGATAAAACAGACACTGTAGTTTACGTGAAAAACTTCAAAACCAAAAATAAATTCCGGGCCCTAAAAATATTAAACTATATGAAAAACAAAGGCATACATGATAAAATAAACTTCACAGTATTTGTTGCCCAAGACTTATCCCAAAATAACTCAAGCATCTTGCAAATTGAGATAAATAAAATAGGAAGAGGACTCCTCTATTTATAGGGACAAATGAAGAGCCTTTTGTTTTACATCCAATGTGAGTTTTGTGTCATTCCCATCAGAAGTTGGAAAATAAAATCATATTCTATGTAGAATAATAAGATTCAAAGCCAAAACGATGTGCTAGTCGAGTGCGTCGGAATTGTCTTTTTTGGTTTAGTTGTTCGATTAAGAAATCTTAGCCATTGAAGATACACAAGCCATTTTGTTAGCCTATTGAAGAAATGGAGCAATCACACCACCCTAACAATGAAAAAAAGGTAAAAAATGTGCTTATTCTTGCAAAGATCAATTTATTCAACATAAACTCGTAAACACTCACGGGAACAGAATGTTACATTACAAATAGAGAGTGAAACCACTCTCCTTCGACTTAGAACACAAATACATATATCAACTGACTTGTAGAAATTTGAAAGTAGGGTTTAGTAACTATTGCAAATAACTTATTGTGTCTTAATTAATCTCTGGACGAAGAGCTCCTCGTCTGGCTACAATAAGGGATCCTCAGTAGCCAATGAAAGTCAAGGAATGTAGCGCTATAACGAACAAAAAGAAGGCAACGAGTTGAGGACATATCTTTGAAATACTTCCATTTGAGGCTGCGTCCGTCTTGGATCCTGCTCCATTCATGAATGAAGGCAATTAGACACATTAATTACAATTTGTTCGTTTGTGTTAAAGATATAGCGTTAGCATGTTTTGCTAAACTTAAAAGTTACTTTTTTCGAAAGACAAGAAGTCATTATTTTGTCATTTAGTCTCTGAATATACCTCGGAGTAACTTTGCAATGTTCCATTCCTAGGTTACTTTTCTATCTACCTCGTAAAGTAAATGAATATCCATCACTGTTAAGAACAATGGAGATCCAATGAGAATTTGCGTGCAAAGATCCAAGCAGTGTATTCTGATTCAGGTGTGAAAACTGCTTCTTATCGACACAGTTAAACCCACAGCATAGGCAACAACCCGTCGTGTACGTATCCGGGTTTATAGAAAGCGCTAATCCAGCCGCTAGATGGTTCAACTCTTTGCTTTCAAGAAAATTAACTTCTGATCTACTCGGTCGAATATTTCATTTTATAGTTATTTGTAACCCTACAAATAGTTCTAAACTTAGACTGTATAAATTTACCTGTCACTGATGGATTAGTTGGAGAATCATCACTTCCATCTCCAGATTCTGGTGGTGAACTCTCTGGAGAAGCCACAGGAGACATTGCAGGGCCATTAACAGCTAACAAATACACATCAGATTTGAATATATTTACACTAAGGTCACTACTAATATATATAATGGAGTCCAGGTGGTCGAGGCCTTACCATTGCACCTACTAATCGGTGGAGTTTCCACCTTACACGCGCCAGGTAGCGCAAGCGCTTGCGTTCGGTTAATATTGACTCCCAACGAACCACCACCACCGTTAACTATAGTGCAAAGGCACCGGGGTTGAGTTTGCACGACATTACCTAGCGCGGAGCAACATGAGGGAGATGGGGTGTTAGAGCTCCCGGTAACGTAGTTGAGACACGAGGCCATGCTAATCAGAACATTCGTGCAGTCTGATTGAGCCATGGCTGCATTTGCTGAAAGAATTATCAGTACAATAACAAGAATTGCACTAACGTTAATCGCTTTTGGTGCCATTTGATCGATTAATTGAAATAAGAATCAAGAAAATTATGTGTGTTCAAGAAAGGAAGGGGGGATGATTTATACAAGTTTCTTGGAGTTACATAATGGAGTTATTTGGTAAACTAGAAATGGCTCATGAGGTAAGGGCCGAAATTGCCGCCGTAACGTGTCATATTCAGGCCTGAGATTTATTATAGATTAATGAATGGATAATTTAAGATTAATCTAGCTAGTCGATGAAATGTCGGGCAACAAATTACAAGTTATTTTTTTGGCGAAGGGGGAATTGTATATTATGTAGCATGTTATGGTTGATCACCTACCACACTAGAAAAGCTAGGCTTGACTTGAAATGTTCCCGCAGTATTCTGGATTAAAGTTTTTATTTAAAGTTCTACTTGCCCGGACTAGTCAATGGGCGATCAAGAAGGCGCATGGCGTAGATTGGCAGCCTTTATTTTGATTAGGAAGGGTGCCTGCAAAAGGTCATCCCCAAGCAGTTGAGCGGGGAAAGAAAGAGTTTTTATTTCAGTTCAAGTTCCACATAAGGAATTTGATTATAAAGGTTGAACCCCAAACTCGAGGGTCTCCACCGGTCCGCCCCTAGAGTTTTGTGGGAGGTAAATCGCGGGATGTGCTCGAGTAGGCCAGAGATTTAATTATCCTCATTATAGAGTGAGAGTGATTACAAACATATATATCGTAGATGCATCGAGTGACTACGAGGGTAAAATGTTGAGAATTATACTCTTGTTTAGTGCCCATTATTTTCAAAATATTTTCTCTCTCTTATTTTGAACCATACATTTTTCAATAAAATAATATTACACGCAAACTCAAATTTTTTTCTTATTTTTTAAGCATACATTTTTCATCAAAATATTATTCCATAATGCAATTTGGACAGAAAAAGGTATCAAACATATCATAATTTTTTATACCATCCAGAGCAATAAAATTGTAAAAATAATTTAAAAAATAGATATACGAGAACATACAAGATTTATAAAAGTTCGTATCAATGTGAGACTATATCTTCTTCCGCTACTAAAGTAATTTACTATGATAAAAATAAAGTTACACGAGAAAAAAATGCTCACACTCTATTTTCTATACGTTTCTCTCATTTAGATGATAATGCAAAACTCTAATGACGGCTCCCAATTTATAAAATAAATTATAGCAAAATCGAAATTACAAGTATTAAATTAAATGGATTTAAGTACGCAATCCGCACAACGACACTAATTCTGCTCCACAACGTAAAATAAAACACCTACTGAACGGTAATATTAGTATCTTATCTTTTTACACTGCTTTGTTGGTCAATTTTCAAAAGTTGTTTAAACCTCTTTTAATTTTAACATTGCTGTTCTCTGTCCTTTATTTTTTCTTCTCCAATTTCTACAAATTCACCTGCACTTGCATAGTCGTCTGATGGATTCCAGTGCCAATAATTTTGCTGGTAAAAATAATTCATTGATATTTGTGAATGAACGAGGTTTCAATTGGATGTAATATTCAAACAATAGATAAATTCATTTTCTATTAAGCACGAGTAGTTTCTTCAAACCGCAAGAAGTAATGGATAGTAAACCATCAACTACAAAACATTCCAATTATTTGAAGATTTTACAGCTATTTATGATTTTTAAGCTGACCAACTAAGATTTAAAACTTCATAGACTAGTAAGCTTGAAAATCGTTGGTACATGTTTGATATGTAGTATTGGACGGAATTAGATAAATATGACAAATAAGATTTTAACTTTTGACTTCTTTAATTTGTTTAGTACTATGAAACGTGTTTGAGAAATATATCTACTATTTGTTTGGTACTATGAAATGTGTTTGAGAAGAACCTTGCAATATGGTTATTCTCCCGTAATCAAGTCCTCTCCATGTTTGGTTTGGAGTGACAATAAATAGATAAAGTTAATTCCACTAGAATAGACAGTACCAATTATTGTAATCTTATTGTTCAAAATAAATTTGGATGAATTAAGAAAAAGAAAGGAAAAATCATGCCATGAATGTCTTATGTGACCACTTAAGCCATATTCATCTAAACGTTGAAGAAATTGTTGATTCCTTACATATTCAAAATCTTCTTTTTTTTTTAATTTTCAACCTCCCCAAATGAGACTCGAACCCAGGTTACTGACGTAATAAGACAGTTTGCTCTTACCCTAAGTGGTACATTGAATTATGAATCAAGAAAATAGTGTGTTTTTTTATTTTGAAACCTGGAAAGGAAAAGGAGAATGGTTAATATAAGCTTTTTTCCAGTTAAAAAATGGAGTCTTTGGTAAACTAGAAACGGCTCATGAGGTATTATTAGCCGATCGACTAAGATTTGTTACGGAATCATGAAGGGATATTTAAGATTATTCTAGCAACTCCATGAAATATATTGCAACAATTTACAATTATTATTATTATTATTATGATGCAAAGGCCGGGAAATGGTATCTTATGTAGTATATTATGGTTGATCACCTACCACTGGAAAACCTTGGCTTGAGTTAAAATGTTCCTGCAGTATTGAATTAAGGTTTTTGGTAAGTTCAAGTTCCACATATAGAATCTGACTGTAGTGTCCAATATTGCATGTTAAACATGCACACATGGAACCAAGTGATTATATGTGTACATAACAATGATGCATGTAGTGATTAAGGTCATGTTTACTGACTACTACTTTAACACTCGTATAAATCTCTTCTATCAAGGATAATGAGTTATGGTTTCCTGCCCTAAATTTTCTTATTGTATAAGATCCCATTAAACTTAAAAGAGCAATTCAATCAGATTTAATACTCAAACGAGCACATGAATTTCAAGGTTAATATGAAAATGAGCTACTATCTTGCGGGCATATCAATTAAGTACCAAAATATAAACAAACATATAAGAGATTGAGTTGCCTCTCTTAATAAGAATGATATTTTAAGATAGAATCTCAAATTTTAATAAAACCCCAAGTGCATGTTTGATATGTAGTATTCGACATGACTACATAGTATAAACAAGACTTTAACTACTCTTTTAATATTGTGAAATAACATATGATCGATCCTCCCTATTAAACGTGTAATCTGTTGAATAGTGAAGGGCACTATACATGAATACTGGAGTCTAATAAAAATGGGCTTCACACATATTTTCAAAGTTAACAGGACACATTTTGCAAGTTGGCAGTTGAGTTCCCTTTGAATCTAATGCAAACATTATCATGCATTGGTTTTTCTCAAATTTCAGATGAAATTGGAAGGGCATTAAATTCACTGAACGGATACGCACACAATTGGAACTAAATTGTCGAAAAGGAGAAATATTATGTCTCCTAGCAATTCTCTATAAATAGAATGCGTAGGATGAAATTGAGGGAAAAAAAAAAAGTATAGAGAGTGAGTAGCATTGTCCAGAGAGTTAAAACGACCGAAAATTAAGAGATTGCCTCTACGTAGTTAAATAAAATACAAAGAGTATATTGTTGTATTCATCTTCATCTCTTATATCACATATTAAAAAATTGGTGTGGGTTTGTGGATTTAGGTATGATTATCAAACCACGTAAATTTTTGTGTTGTACTTGCACTTATTATTATTATTTTTTTTTTTGCTATATTTTATTTCTTCTTAGTTTAAATTATTTTGCGTTCCACTAATTCTAACAGAATTAGTAACGTCTAATTCCTAACAAAATCAAGTGCAGTAACCTAAGACTCTAAGTAGATCCACACTTTCTCGGTCCTAATATTGAGTGATTGTGAGTGTTCTCAAACCAATAATCCCCTAGTTCGTGAGTTATTTTTTTTGTTTAGGATAAGGTTTAAGGACAACATTGACAAAAGTAACGACTGAGCCTTACCCTCTAGGTTTGCATATTTAATTTGATACAAGTAGCCATATTTAGCTATTCTAAGTCCAGCATTTAACAATTTTTGAAGCGATACTAAGAGCATCCCAACAATCGAAATATAGCCCAAAAAGATGTCAAAAGAGGTAATGGCTAAGTTCATTTTGTGCAACCACCACAGCGAAAAAATTCAATTGGCTTTAGCCCTTAGTTTTGCCATTAGAATCTTCAGCCGTCTATTCGTCAATTGTCACACCTTTATGTAGTCGAATCATTGTGGTAGAAACTATCTATCAACTGTATATTCATGCCTCCAAATATTGATGAAATTATTTCATTGTTACCTAGTTACATCGGCAATTCGTTTGTTGCACAATCGTACAATATTCTCGTTATAAGTAGGACCACACTGATGTAGGACATAGCTGGGTTCTAATACCAATCTGATATAGCGTCAAGAAATTAATGATAAGGTGAACGTGTTGAAAAGTGAAAACACATTAATGCTAAAAATACATGCGAATTAAGAAAGAAGCAGTGTGATATTCGTGATTCATTGGATGACATTTGTGTTGGGAATCTACTTATCATATGCAAGGGAATATAAAACAGGTTTCAATTCCCATCAAGGATCCCTCCGTGTTTAGATAGAAATTGTGATAGAAAGTTGTATCTTTTGAAAGATTCTGCAAACTTTTTGCTTTCCTTTTGTTTCAGCAACTTCGATCTGTCATTCATAACTTTTCGATTGTCTAGCCTCCAACTATAATCCACACAAAGAACAAGAATATATGATTGGGATTTTTTTCTGTGCTAGTAAAAAGAAAGAAGAAATCTCTACCAATTGAAAATACTAATCACTTATTTATATAAGTCCAAACGGGCTTTGCCTGCGCCGGTCCAATATTTAATTAACCAATTTATAAAAATTTGGTCCTTGAATTAATTAATCTAATTAGTTAATTTGGGCCTATAAATATGCAACCTAATTAATTAATTTATCCAATGCTTGTTAAATTAATTACTTAACAAATCACAATCTTCCACTTCCCCTTTTGTGTGGGACCCATCAAATTCCTAATTACGATACCTAATGATGTGAATTATTATTTTGATCTAATCAAAATCGATAAATTAAAACACCGTTTTAATTCATCATCAATTCATGTTCGTCGTCCCAGATTTACATCTAACAATGTGTCAGGGTAATATATGTGACGGAATACAAAATCAAACTCGTTCGTTTACTGGAAACTATAATCCCTTCGTCAATATGATCCGATCAATTACGACATATGAAAGTTTATCAATCCCGATTATCAATCATATCTTTCATTCCACTATTAAGTCAATATAAGTCGAAGGCTCATTTTCGACTTATGAGTACGCCTGGGCCAATAATTTCTTTATCGACTTAATTGAATGATATGCAGATCATAATCTCTTACTATCTAAGAGTGACAAATCATTTATTGATCATTCATAATCTTCATACGATTCTTGACATACCCGAACGATGCCGTATTAGCAACCCTTGGTAGAGCAACATTCAACACCGTCAAAACATGTTTGTCCTCATATAAGGCACTATGATAACCTCAAGTCAAAGGACCAATTCCACTACTGAACGTTAGAGATTAATCACTGACACTCAGATAATTATCCATGCGAAATCTCTTAGCGGGTCTCCAATGTTTTGTTCTATAACAAAATATACACATGTTCATTTAATTGTCACTACACTTTAACTTGTAAGATCAGCTACCGACTTCACAAGTAAGAAATGTCACACGTGATGGTCTATTCGTAATAACGATATCTTTATCTGGTTATTACTTACGATCACGAATAATTTAAGATTTAATCATATATAATTTGTATCTCATAATCACAATTCCTTGTGATTAACAAATTACTAAGATTTTTGAATCTACGAACTCCATTATTTAATTCGATTGAATATTAATTAATTAAATAATAGATCTGTCATAAATCGCATCAACTATATATTAAAAGCGTTTGTCCAAAGTCGATTAGATTTAGGACATAACACTTACAATTTGAAGGAAAACGAAAGCAATGTATTTCATCCAACATGAAATTCCAATTGCTAGAGTCCATGGAGAAAGAAAAAAGAGAATCATGGAAATCAATAACCAAACCTCTCTCCAAGGAACAAATAGAAAACCCATAACTTTATTGTCAACGGGGATCTCATTTTTTCCATTACTTCAACTAGTCTAATTAATGAGAGAGACATTTGTGGATTATGAGTTAACTAGTTCCTTCATGAGAGATTCCACTCTACTAAGAATAGGATTGTCGACTTGAGTATCTTAAGCATATTAGAAGTCTTCCTCCTCATGACCCAACCATAGAAATCAAAATTTCATTGAATCACTATGGAATAACAAATATTTGATTTTGACTTGGTAATTCTCAAATAGAAGATCGAAAATTAAAACTCGAATTTCTATAATTTTATTCAAAAAACAACCAAAAATCCTGCTTTAAGATGATAAAAACATAACACAATTTTTACCAAATCCAAATGACTTCTAGAAAACATAAAATACAAATCTTTTAACTCTTTTTGATTTCAAATAAAATAAACGCTTTGGGAGCTCCAAATCCTCTTCATGATCACAACCCAGCCCATCTTTAATTTGCATAGACGAAAGTATTCGATTGGGATTAGTATTGAAAAGCTAAAATATATATAAAACTTGAATTTATTACCTTTTTTTTTAATTTAAAAGTAAGAAAAAAAGTAAGTTATCCAGTTCTGTTACGTAAAATGAAGAGGCAAAGGAGCTGAGTTCGAGTCGTAAGAGCGAGCACGGAACAACATGAAGACGACGGGTAGCTATAACTCCGATAAGATACACGACGCACAAGATGATGCCAATTATCAAATTCCTGAAACCTATTTCTTATTTTTTAATCACACATTCTTCAAAAAAAATTATTATTTCAAAACACATTTTCTCCCAAAATCTCATTTTAATGGAGTCCAAACATAGGCTAA